CCTGTTCACAACAAAGCTACGCTGAGGTGTGTGCGCTCCGTCCAGCGATACATCCGATATTTGAATACCTGATTAGCCTTCTGGCAAACTGAGCTTCATAAAGAACGATTGAAAATTCCTAAGATTTATTTGTCATTTATTGGCTGGTTCAAGTTTTAGTGGGCAACAGGCGAATAAAAGACGCCGGCGTTACATAGAACATACGTAGAGAAAACCTGAGAAAAATATAATTAGCATGTCTTTGCATTGGAACCGACATGGACAAAGAAATAAAGGCAGACCCAAAAATAAATTGAAAAGGCAGCTAGAGAGTGATGTTAAAAAGATGGGGAGGACACAAGGAGAGCTGTATGCGATATCACGAGTTGTAAACGTCAGAAGAAGAAGAAAGAAGAAGCTGTTTGTGAATCCTCTAGACTCGGGAAGACTGAAGCTTAATTACTTCAGTTAAGTCAAATCCATTGGCTTTCAGGCAGGCCTACCGGTACAGAGAAAAAGTGGCCGGGGGAAGGTGGTACCGAATCCCTTTCCTAACACTACCCTCTCCCCCTCTAACAAAGCAAACTTTCTAGGCATAAACTGGGAGAGTGACTCAAAGAGGGTAGTTCTGCCTTAAGAACACAATGATAATAATAACAACAACAATAATAATAATAATAATAATAATAATAATAATAATAATAATAATAATAATAATAATAATAATAATAATAATAATAATAATAATAATCGTCTTTTTCGCGTTCGTCGGCTGTAAACTCCAGCGGAATTTTCTGGCTGTTCGTCCACTGCTGGACTTGTCTTGTTCCAGAACTTGTTTCGCATGTACACCGTTTTCACAGATTTGGTTCGTTATTATGCAGACTGTTGGTTCCTTGCCTCTTAGGGAGAGGCATTCAGATTTCGAAAGAATAATAATAATAATAAAAATAATAATAATAATAATAATGTGCTTAATTTTAAAATACAATTTTTAGTAAAGTCGAAATAATATTAAGTATATAATTATAAACCTAAAATAAAACTGGTATATATGTCTGAGGTCTTCTAACCCCCTTGCATAAAAATGTGGGAAGGGGGAGACTCAATGTGCCTATGCATTCGGGTTATGTTGCCTCTATTCCAATGTGTGTGTTAAGGAATGTTGCCTTAAGGTAATCGAGTGTTCTGGTGACACCTGCATATGTTTTATCCTTAACAATTAATAAATTAATTAAACTAATTCTTAATATTAATTTATTATTTAACAAAGTGCGAGGTCATGAAACATTTCGTCTGCTAAAATTAAATCGAGACTGAACAAGTTTGAATTTTTGTTTCAGTTATTATTAAAGATGTAATCACTCTAGCGAGTGTTTAACAGAAATGAATAACCTAGCTGTATTTTCCAACTTCACTTATTGCATCAAAATATTTTTAGCAGCTTCAGATGGCCTGAAAACCCTGGCCAAGACAACCAGTGGTTGCTGTAAAGGTCCGGGATATGCCAGCCCAGCAGATGCCATGAAGAATGGGCCCCGAGAGAAGATCGTCTATCTGCCATGTATCGTGCCTCCTCATTTGAAGAAGAAGAAGCCGGATTATCTGGCCACCGTGGATATTGATCCTGACTCACCCACCTTTTGCAAGGTAATTTACAGTAACTTCTTTTGTCACTATGGTATCTTTTAATGTTACAGGAGTGGTTATTGTGCACATAAAGAAGAGGAAGACACTAATCATGTTACAGGATTATTCTATGGTTATTGTGCACATGTAGCATGGGAAGATACTAAATGTTCGTTGACATGTAGTGGCTGGCTGTAATCGTCACTTATGCTTTCCTTTGTCAAATAAAATTTAGTTCACTATTTTTTTAAACTGGGCTACTCGGTTTATGTCTCGAACACAGCGAGAAGAATGCTCGCTGCATGCTTACACCATTTATGCAGAAACTGTAACACGTGAAGGTTACCAATTAGTAGTACTACAATGTTAGCTGTGCATGCATATTTTCGACAGCCAAACAAGCGATGGGGAGGAAAAAATCGCGAGAAATTCTATCCCATGTAATCGTTGCCTGCTAATGCTTACATGAACGAATTGATCACGCCTCGCCACTGTAAAATACTGACATTCTTCTCAGTCTGAAAATCTGGGAAGACGGACTCATATACTAATTGGAAAGGGGTGAAGTCAGATAAAAGCCTAATGCAAGAAGCCGAAGAAAAGCAGTCAATCAGCGTAGAATGTGCGTCACGATCCGCTACACACTCTGCGATCCTCATTGTAGATGATTGGAGCACTTGTAGATTGAATGATTCGATGTGCAGTGAAGATGATTTGCCGACTGACTGATTTATATTATTACTGATGGAGTTGTATTCATCTCTCACATACGTAACAAAATACTTTATAATGGAAAAATAAGCCCCAAAAAAAAATATTTTATAATTTAAAAAATTTAAGGATAGGGAGTATGTTGAGAGGCTGTGAATCCTGGACCAATAATTAACCAGCCAAACCAGTTTTTGAGGTCTCCGAGATTTACAGAAGAATCCTTAGAATTCACTGGGCAACCAGAAAAAGCAACTCAGAAGGGACATTAATCATTTTTGGTTATGTTACGAGAAGGAGATGGATTATGATGTGACCGCTGGCAAGATCTCTGGGAAAAGAGACAAGAGAAAGACATCGTAAGAAGATTCTTGAGTCTTTTGTCATGGTAGGGCGTGGTATGTCAGCATATGAACTTATAATGCTGTCGAACATTGCAAGATGTGAACGGGCAGGATCGCCCACACCGGTCAGCAAGGCACTTGATGATGTTGAGTAATTTCTGTTTCAGTTGTTTAGTGTTCGACTTTAATAGTAAAGTAAAGAACCGTTTTCCACGTCTTTGGGCGCACTGGGCATATAGTCGAAGAACCCAGTTCAGGCGTATTTGGGTCTATAGGGTAGGCTTATGTTTTAAACACCAATCCTCAAGCCACTACACTGCGGCGGCTTCCATTAAGCATATAGGGCAAGATCTATATTTCATACACCAGTTTTCACTAGGGGGTTGGGGGGGGGGGGGGTAATGTGGTCAAAAGCACCTCGGTTGTCTTTACTTCCAATGACTTCACTCGGTACCCTCATTCAAGGCTGGGTCGACGTAATAACCAAGGTCATTTTTTTAAAGAAGAAACAAAAGTCCGTCCGGACCTGAATCCACGACCTTCTAATCCGCAGGCGAGAGTCTAGCCTCTAGACCACGGCGACTCTCTTGACTTAAATAGGTGTCATTCAAAATTCAGTCAGCAAAAAAAAAAAAATAAGAATAAGTTAATTTCCGTTCAAATACAGAGGGTACAAGAGGAAGCAAATGTTTCAGCAGGATAAGGAAACAAATTGTACAGTGCACGGGCATCAGATTTGTTCGTCTCTTGCTTCTCTTGCTCTCTCTCTCTCTCTCTCTCTCTCTCTCTCTCTCTCTCTCTCTCTCACGCTCTCTCTCTTTCTTTCTCTCTCTCTCTCTGTCAATCTCTCTCTCCCTCTCTCTCTCTCTCTCTCTCTCTCTCTCTCTCTCTCTCTCTCTCTCTCTCTCACTCTCTCTCTCTCTAAATCTCTCTCTTTTTCTCTCTCTCTTCCCTTATCTTCCCTCCCTCATAGATCTTCTACCCTGGCCTCTTTCTCACTCTTCTCTCTCTCTCTCTCTCTCTCTCTCTCTCTCTTCCCTTTTCTTCCCTCCCTCTTTCACTAGCTCCTGCCCTCCCTCCCTCATAGATCTTCTACCCTGATCTCTTTCTCACTCACTCACTCACTCTCTCTCTCTCTCTCTCTCTCTCTCTCTCTCTTCCCTTTTCTTCCCTCCCTCTTTCACTAGCTCCTACCCTCCCTCTCTCATATATCTTCTACCCTGACCTCTTTCTCACTCTTTTCTCTCTCTCTCTCTCTCTCTCTCTCTCTCTCTCTCTCTCTCTCTCTCTCTTCCCTTTTCTTCCCTCCCTCATAGATCTTCTACCCTGGCCTATTTCTCACTCTTTTCTCTCTCTCTCTCTCTCTCTCTCTCTCTCTCTCTCTCTCTCTCTCTCTCTTCCCTTTTCTTCCCTCCCTCTTTCACTAGCTCCTACCCTCCCTCCCTCGCTCATAGATCTTCTACCCTGGCCTCTTTCTCACTCTCTCTCTCTCTCTCTCTCTCTTCCCTTTTCTTCCCTCCCTCTTTCACTAGCTCTTACCCTCCCTCCCTCATAGATCTTCTACCCTGACCTCTTTCTCACTCTTCTCTCTCTCTCTCTCTATCTCTCTCTCTCTCTCTCTCTCTCTCTCTTCCCTTTTCTTCCCTCCCTCATAGATCTTCTACCCTGGCCTCTTTCTCACTCTCTCTCTCTCTCTCTCTCTCTCTCTCTCTCTCTCTCTCTCTCTCTCTCTCTCTTCCCTTTTTTCCCTCCCTCTTTCACTAGCTCCTACCCTCCCTCCCTCATAGATCTTCTATCCTCGCATCTTTCTCTCTCTCTCTCTTCTCTCTCTCTCTCTCTCTCTCTCTCTCTCTCTGTATGTATACATGTGGATGTATGTATGTGTGCATATATGTATGTAGGTGCATGTATTATGTATGTCTGTATATGTATGAGAAGGTTTCTATGTAAATGTATCTGTGTAAGTCTATGGGTGTATGTGTATTCATACATGTATATGGATGTTTGTCGGTATATGTAGCTGTGTATGTATGTGGATGTGTGTGTATTTATGAATGTGTGCAAGTATGCGTGTATGTAAGTATGTGGGTATGTATTATGTATGTGTATGTATGTATAAAAGTATCTATATGTGTGTATATATGTATGTATTATCTAGGTGTGTGTGTGTATGCATGCATGTGGATATATGAATGTATATTTAAGTTTGTTTTTGTATGTATGTATATATGTTGTAAGTATGTGTGACTGTATATGAGTGTATGTGTGATTGTAGGTATATGTGTACATAATGTAGGCAAGTATGTATGTATGTATGCATGAGTGTATGTATGTATGTATCTGTATGGATGATTGTATATGTGTGTATGCATGCATGTGTGGGTATGAATGTAATGTGTGTCGGCATGTATGTGGGTGTGTGTATGTATGCATGTTTGTGGATGTGTGTATGCATTTGTAGATGTATAAGTATGTGGGTGTACGTGTATGTATTTAGGTATGTATGCATGTATGTGTGTAAAGATGTAGGTGTATGTATTGATGTGTGTATGTATATGTGTGTATGTATGTTTACATGTGAGTGTAAATGTGTGGTTGTGGATGTCTGTACATGTGATTGTATGTGTGTGTATGCATGCATGCATGTGTAGGTGTGTATATGTCCATTTATGTATGTGTGTGTCTTTTCTGTTTGTGTATATATGTAGATGTTTATATGTATGTATGTATGTATGTATGTATGTGTTAGGTATGTATGTATATGAGTGTGCCTGTATGAGAATGTGAGAGCATATATTTATGTGTGTAAGTGTGTAAGATTGTGTACACATGATGTATGTATTATATTCTATAATGTATATTTGTATTCTATAATATGTATTTTAGATAACAGGCAGTGGTACTCTGAAAAACAAGTGCTTAGAATGGCCGAATGTCAGACGGGCCTGTGTGCCCAATTTGTAACCCTTTGAAAATAAAGTTTGTTCGTTCGTTCGTTCGTTCGTTCTCTTTCTATTAAGCTTTTTACAAACAGGTCAGCCAGTGGACAATGTTTTGTTCTGACATTTGCAAATTGTGTTAACGAGATTTTGTTGTATTTGATGTGCAAAATTAAGTAAATTTATTTTCCAGTTAAGAAAGTGAAATAACACTCAAAGATACTCATACATTTATGAAACCTTTTCGTTTCAAATCTCATATTCCATATTTGACGGTAGTTAAACACCAGATTCTGGTTGATTTACTCCTGTAGGTCATTCATCGGCTAATGATGCCTTATATGGGGGATGAACTTCATCATTCCGGATGGAACGCTTGTTCTAGTTGTCACGACGACCCATCCAGGAGCCGCAATCGATTAATACTCCCAGCGTTAAACAGTGATCGAATCTACATCGTAGATGTCGGGACAGATCCACGGGAGCCAAGGTTTCATAAGGTTTGGCTGTGTTGGCTTTATATTTTTAGTACACATGAATCCCCGTGTGAGTTCCGGGGCCCTATTTTACGGAAAACAAGAATAGGCCCACTGCCTACCATAAAGCATGTCATAAGAGTATTCGAACTTCCTTCGAAGTCAGAGTTTATCTGCCAGAGAGGCAAGGAACCAGCAGTCTGCACACAAATGAGATCTGTAAAATGGTATGCACACGCAACACTCAGTTTCTGGAACATGACTGCAGTCTAAGAGTGGATGAACAACCAGAACTTTCTGCCAGAGTTAACAGCTGGTCAACACGAAGAAGAAGAAGAAGTACAAAAAAAAGAGGACGGAGGCGGGGTATTCAGTCTGGTCTACTGATTTAACACCTAGGAAGTTAACCCCGTCAACAACTGCCCCATGAAGTTGGATGTGTCGATCAAAAGTGTTAATATCGCAGTTTTGCTGTAGTCTGACACCGTGCAATTACGTCACTAGGAGATAAAAGAAAAAGAAGATTACATACATTGCTGATTATATTAAATAAACCATTTTAGGGGACCTCCTTGTCTTTATTTCTTCTGTATCTGGGATGAAAATATCAATCTAGTGTTGAACGTTATGGTTAGAAAGCATTCAGCAGCATAACATGAATGATGCAGTTACATAAAAGAATTCATAAAATAACTTAGCAGTTCTGTTCAGTCTCTCACAATTTATATGCCCACTTGTGCATCAAAGATTTTGCAGTCAGAGAGTGGACAGGAAGTAATTGAGAGTGCTGACAAAGTTGGGGGAGGGGAAACTTAAACGAGTATGTGCTGGTTTGAGCCCACCACTCTGCATATGTGATAATCAATCAGTACCTTACAATTTCTGTATCTCCTGACATTCTTAAAGGATGTTAACTCTTACAAAGTCTTCCAGAGTATTTCGCAGCATTTATCCAAGAGGGGCAGTAATCGCAAAGAAAAGGGCATACATATATTTCTTTCAAATAGGTATATGGCTTGCTGCATGTTAAAATAACTAACCAGATTTCTTTAGTATACATCACTAAATGTAACAAATTTAAATAACACACAATACATTGTGTGATACACAGGGATAATAGCTGATCCCGCGTGATCTGCAGTTTGGAACAGAGTTGATAACAAAAAAACTATGTGTTACCAATTAGAGTATACCTTTTTTTTAACTTATTTCCAAAAGTATACTTTATTAGTTATTACAGCATACATATATAATGTTAAAAATTAGAACTGTATTCTGTGGTAAAAAATACACTCTGTGTAATAAGCACAAATATGTACTTTGAAAATAAGTTTTTAAACAAAAATGTAAACCATGTAGAACAGGTTCAAAAAGTATATTCTGGTGAGGAATAGGTAACAAGTATACTCTGAAACTAAGTTTTAAAAACATATACTCTGAGGAATAAGTAAGAAAGTATACTTTTTGGGAATAAGTTTTAAAAAGTTATACTTTGTGGAGCTAATAAAAAAGTGTATTCTGGAGAATAACTAACAAAAAAAAAGTATATTCTAGTGATGGGTGGATGTTGTCATAATCATATAGTTTCCAGAACTTTCCTGGTACAAATTTTTGACTTAAAAAATTAATTTTTTTAATTTCTATAATTCAAGGCAGATTTGAACAGTTATCATAGGGTTGGCTGGCAAGGGCACCAGTCACTTTATTACCACAGCTCTATTTTATGAGGGAATAACTCACATCAATTTGTCCACAATACTGTACATATCTTCTTCACTAATCATTTTAAATGTGTTCCAGTGTTTTTCACTTTATTATGTATTGATGCACCAATTCATTTGTGAATGGTAAAATCTTATTTTTAGCTAACGTTAAATAAATCTGACAGGAAGAAATATCAAGTGGCAACTGTCATGGAATGCTTCGGAAACAATATAATCACCTTAAATTAAGGGGTGGGGTGTCTCAAAGGATATGAGAGCTTGCTGCAGAAACTCATATTAATAGGCTAATTAAATCAGTGTCATATTAAAAAATCTATAGTTGTAACTCTGATACCTGAGAAAGTAATACAATGAAAATCTTTTTCGTTAATTCATTTCCCTTCGTTTAGATTTTACCCCCCCCCCCCCCCCCCCCCCAACCAATCTTCATTCACTTCACTGTTGTAGTTTCTTAGTGTCACTTTTTAATATTTACCAAAGAAAATAATCTTTTACTGGAATCTGTGTTGTGTTTGTATCTGCTGATATTGCAGATCAATTAATTTGGAATTCCCTCCTTTCCAATATTCCCCTGAAGGACATATCCAGTAACTGATCTCTTTTAATTTTTTTTTTTTTTTTTGGTCTTCTTACACTATTATCTGCCCGGCTCTCTAGCGTAGTTGGCTAAACCGGATTGCGCGGAGACCGGGTGTTGAACTCCTTGTGGTCCGGGTTCAATCCCGGGGGTAGGCAGGAAAGCCACATTTTCTCCCAGATGTACGGTATTTACAATGGAATCAAGGCCGAAAGGTTGCAATATCCATAATACCGAGCCTAACAACTCATGGCTTCTGGATACTAAAACAAAACAACACTATTATCTTTCTTATCTTGGTTTACTGAGCTTCACACTTTCCAACTGCTGGGTTTCATGGGCATCATATCGATACCCTGTGTTGTATCATAAAATTCCTTCCAGAATAAACAAAACTAGAAGTCAGAACAGATTTGAAACAAAACTAGATGACTAACATCTCTAAATAGTGTGTTCTTGGTATTTTATCAGCATGTCTTCCTTGACTGCTTATCTATCCAGTGATCCATTCCCAGACTGGTGAGCCTATTTTGACTGCTTACAAGTTTTATTCTTAGTATGCTGAGCCTGTGTGACTACTTATCCATTTCATCCATTTTTAGATAGAAGCCTGTCTGACTACTTATCCATTTCATCCATTTTTAGATAGAAACCTGTTTGACTACTTATTAGTTTGATCTATTTCTTTAGATAGAGGTCTGTTTAACTACTTACCTATTTGATCCATCCACATTTAGCTGAGCCAGTTTGACTACTTATCCATTTGATCTATTTTTTTAAGATAGAAGCCTGTTTGGCTACTTATCCATTTGATCCATCCACAGTTAGCTGAGCCTTTTTGACTACTTATCCATTTGATCCATCCACAGTTAGCTGAGCCTGTTTGACTACTTATCCATTTGATCCATCCACAGATAGTTGAGCCTGTTGATGTTCACAGGCTGACAGGGCTAGGAGCTCCCCATACCACACATTGCCTTGCCAGTGGGGAAGTTATGATCAGCTGCATTGGAGACTCCGAGGGCAACAACACAAAGAGTAAGAATGGGTCTCATGACAAAACAATTCCCAAACTTGAACTGGAGAAAATCATAGATTGTGACTACAGATTTTTAATGGTGCACACTGCATTAGTGTGGCACACTTATTATGATTACAACAAAATAAATAATTAGAAAATCAAAATAGTTCAAGCTGGTCTCTACGGAGATCCAGTGTAACCGATAGCAGCAGACTAACTTTTGCCTGAGCAAAGGTCCAGTAGAAAGCTTATCTGTTCACTGCATACAGGGCTAGTCTTGCGGGCTGAGTGGTCCAGAGACATGGTATCTGCCTCGATTGTGAATAACACCTTAAGGATGAGAATTCTTCTTTTACAAATCCCAGTGAGCCCCAATCAATCCTGACGTTATAATGAAGCCCCCAATGGCTTACAAAGTAACCTGAAATCCAGACCAGGCAGGGATTTAGGAGAACAAAAGGGAAAAACAACGCTGAAAGAGCCGTATCTTTTATTCTTTCATTATCCTGTTCTACCATTAAATGTCACATAGGGCTCACAGTCTATTCCTCAATTCTGCTCTATCCTGTACATTCAGTTCAATATCATGGATGGAACTCAGTTCAGCAGCTTTGGCCTCTCTCGTCAATGCTTGTTTTAGGGTTTCTTTTGTGCGTCCTCACCCTCCTCAGTCCCTTTATCTCCCATTTTTTTCTGTTTGGTGATTCTCTGCTGGTTTATTTTCAGGATGTATCTAGTACAGTGCTATCTTCTCTGTCTTGTAACTGCTGATACTAGAGGCTGCACGGACACTTCTCTTATTTCTTTACTCCTTTTGAATTAATTACATTTTGTTTTTGACAAGTGATCATTTTTTTTTTCTGGACCGGCTTTTCTGACTCTGATCTTTCTGTACAGTGTGAGATTTTTAAAACAAAGAAATATATCAGATATTTTTACTTCCTGTCATAGAAGCAACTACTATACAGCCATGTCAGTCAAAACACTATACACTTCATTGATTACACATTGTCTTTTCCTTTGAGGTGGCTTTATTGTTCTGGATGGCAAGGATTTCAGTATTAAAGAAAACTGGGAGAAAAGTCACATCAACATTGGTTACGATTACTGGTATCAGCCCAGGCATGATGTCATGATCAGCACAGAGTGGGGTGCCCCAAGAGCCTGGAGAAATGGGTTCAAACTTCAAGATGTGGCTGAAGGTAAGCTTGATGGTCACACAAAACTAGGATGATGTCATTTATCAGTTGAAATGTTCGCAGCAGTATTTATGTATGCTTTTATGTTCATATTATTTCAACTTTACCTGGGCAAGAATAGGTTCACCACCATGTCTTTCTGTTTACACAAATCTGAATGTGAGTGATTAATTGTGGTCACTTCAAGATCTCCAGCTGACTGTCAGTTTCAACAGCTTTAACATCATTCAAGAATGTCTGGGCTGTGATTGGTCTATTCATTTAATTATTTCATTGGTTTAAGAATGATTTTATTGGTTTTAGGATCAAATTTATATCACACTCGGGACACCCACGGATGCTGTCTCCTATATCGAATTTAGTAACGTGTAAATACTGATTGTTCCAGTAGAACTCTGGTTGAAAAAACATTATATTCTTCCTCTCATAATACCTTATCACCAGAACCATGCATAACTCTACATTTGCACATTTTAAAATATATTTTGATTCATGTATCATTGTATCTTCATCATCAAGTGCCTGGCCAACTGGCGTGGGTGACCATACTTCTCCACAGTCTTCAAACTTCAGCAGCATGTATCATTACATGTGATGACACTCCTCCATGCCATGACAAAAGGCTGTCTAGACTCTTCTCATATTGACTTCCTCTGTCTCTTTCATCACAGATCTTTCCAGTGATCACAACATGTTCCATTTTCCTTCTTCTCATAACATGACTCAAAAATGTTGATTTATCTTTCTGATGTTCATAATAAGTTGTCTTCAAGCCCTCACCTCTCTCAGAATATCTGGGTTTGCTCTATTTAGCTGCCCAGGGAAATCTAAGAATTCTTCTGTGAAATCACAAGTTTCTGAGACCTTAAGAAATTTTTTATTAATTCTCCAGAATTCACAGCCACATATTAAAACTGGCTTGATATAGCAGGCAAGAATTCTTTTTTTTTTTTCCTAACCTCTAGTGGCACATATTGTGTTTGCAAAATAAAATTGTATATTTAGCTAGCCCTAAACAGTAAGCAAAAAGATGGTCCCATGGCATATACTGGAACTGGATGCAAAGTGTTTGGTCTTCACATATTCTAGATCATGACAAATAAGATAATGGTGGCCGGTTCCCCTTCTCATTTTTTTTCCCCCAGCGAATTCTTAAAGTTGTATGGTGGCCACTTTCATGAGGTTGGATTGACCCCAGACAATAATGGAGTCGGACAAAGATTGTTCTCCTGGGGATAGAACCCAGACTACTGCAGTTGGCAGAATATTTACCACATCACCATCAAGTGCCTGACTGTCTACAAAACGGTGGGATTAGCACTATATTCCCAGCATGTCTCAATGATGAAAAGAGATCCTGTACTTTACTTTATTCTTTGTGACTGGTTTATTTTGTATTTCACTTTGTTGTATATCATAATGTTATACAATAATCTTATATAATAATTGTATGTATATATATTAATGTAGCTACTTTACGGTCTGTTCTGTCTTTGTTCCCCCCCCCCCCCACCAAAAAAAAGTAAAGGACCATTTTCCATGTCTTCAAGCATAAGGACGTATAGGGCTAGACCTATATTTTATAGACCAGTCGGCACTCGATAGGTGATGTGGTTAACATCCTTGCCGTCTGCTTTTCTGCTACTGAGTTCACCTGGTAACCATTTAAGGCTGGGTTAACCTTGCAGCCAAGGTTATTTTTTTTTAAGTCCAGCTCTGTCAGGACCTGAAATCACAACCTTAGAATCCACATGTAATCATCTAGCAGCTACACTACGGCGGCCCCCCTGTGTTTGTTGCGTGTTGTAAGAAATATTTGTTCTTGTTTTGCTGGTGAAGGCTTGTTGTCACAACATCTTCTGTAGTCTCTAGGTGCCTTCTTGTGAATCTGAACTGCATTTCATATTTTATGCATTTCCAATTGTTTATGTGTAAAAATGTAAAGTACATAAACTACATGAAGCCTTAACTGCTCACCCTAGGGCTCTACGGTAACAGCCTTCACGTCTGGCAATGGTCAACCCACAAGAAAATACAAACACTGGATCTTGGTTCTGAGGGTGCCATTCCTTTAGAAATCAGATTCCTGCATGATCCAGATGCCACCACGGGTTATGTGGGATGTGCCCTTGGCTCCTCTGTGTTCAGATTCTTCAAAACTCCTGTAAGTTTTTATGAGACAATCACATGTTTTCAGAAAGTACCTTGCTAAACAGTAGAGGCATGTATGCATATCACAGATGGATCTATCAATTTGTCCCCTCTGGTTTGCTACCTGGGTTGAAGAAAAGATGCTGATGTTGGATAGGCCACAAATTGAGAGAACAATATAACTAGAATGTCTTTGCACTGAATCCTACAGAGGCATAGGAATAGAGGAAGACCAAAAAACACACGGAGAAGGGAGCTAGAGAGTGAAGTTAAAAAGATGGGGAGGACACAGGGAAGAGTTGCATACAATAGCAAAGGATAGCACGGCTTGGTGTGAGTTGGTTGAGGGCCTGTGCTCCATTGGGGGTTAGAACTGAAGAAGAAGTAGGGTTGCTACCTACAGGTTTACTATACAATCCAGAGATTTCAAAATCTCAATCCGGATGGCAGATCAACAAGCCAGACTCATGATACCCAGTTTAATCTTTAAAGAAGTTATAATTGTGACACCCTTAACAGTGACACCTGCCAGGTGTTGGCTGCAGTCCTGTATGGGTAAGGACTTGTATAAACAATCTTGGTCCTTGGTGTTTTAGATCCTTCTAATGATTTTCTATTGAGAGACTTTGCCAGTATGTGTTTAAGGGTTATGATGTTGTAATACAGAGATGCAAGTTATTGAGGAAGCAAGAGGAGAGTGCATAGTTGATGACATTTATAAAGATAACTTCTTTCTGTCTGAGGATGATTTTATCTCTCCATACCTTGCTCCATCTGTTCATTCATTCACATTCTTCTTCTTTGTTCATCATTAATAAGGCAGTTAACACTTTGTGTTGTGGTTTACAGCTTGGCTGTGAAATCTGCACCTTTCAGCCCAACACATCCATTGTCAGCAAACCCTTCATTTGTCCCCTTTTACTACATGCTTGTTAAAGGCGGTATCTGTATGATTTTTATTTTACCCTCAAAATGTGGCTCACTCTGGATGGAACATGCATAGCTTAGCCAGGAATTTACAGCTTTACAATGCTCAAGCCATTTCTCATTTTCAGTCAGTTTAATAAAAATACAAATGATTACAATCATGAACAAATCAAATCATTGGACAAGTGTTACCAATATTGCAAAAGAAACATGTAACACTTGACTTCAAAAGAACACTATTCAGTACAGTATTTTTAACCAACATTGTATTATCAGTACCAAAGGTAAACAAAAGACCAAAAAATCGAAACAACAGAAATTAAATGTCTGTGGTGAATCCTAAATGAAACATGAAGAGACAGGATCAGAAATGAAGACATTAGGAAAGAAGTTGGGATGGAATCAGTATTATCTCTTTGAGTTCAAAGGAACGCATCATACATTCATAGGTTAATGCCTAGAAGCCCAATGAACGCATGATGCGCCGATTTTAGTCTCTTTTGACTACCCCTTGGGCCTGTGATGCTAAACCCTCTGGGACTCAAAGAGTTAAATTACATCAACAGACAATAAATCCAGTGGTTTGGACATGTGTCAAGACTTCCACCAGACTGTGCACCACAGAGAACCCTGTCACGTAGACATAATGGAAGCAGAGCCTGAGGTCAACAATGCACACAAACAAATCATGAGCACTCCTGACCAGAGACCAGAAAGGAAGGTGAACACACACATGCTGCGGACACTAGCTAAGAATGTCAAGCAGTGTGACTGTGAACACTTCTATCTGTATTGTCATTTCAGAATGGAGATTGGGACAAAGAGAAAGTTATTCAAGTGCCACCCAAGAATGTTGAAGGATGGATATTGCCACAAATGCCAGGTTAGTTTATGTGCATGAAATTTTTTTTTTTTTTTTTAAATAAATTTAGTGAACCTAGTTGAGAATTGTATTATTTGTCCTCTATCACTCCTTTTTTTTCTCTTTCATGTAATCTTTCTGATCTTCTCTTTCTTATCTACTGCTTATCTTCCTCCTCTTTCTGTTGTTCTTCTCTTCTCCTCCGCCTTTATCTTAATCTTCACATTCTTCCTCCCCATTCTCATTTTCTTTATTATCGTTTTCTTCTGCTTCATCTAGTTTCTCAATGGGGCAGGGACACTCAACCAATTCATGCCAAGTTGTTTGTATTCTCCTTGATGGCTGGGTGGATTTTGCATCAGAGGATGTAGCTGTTCTCATGCCAACTTTGATTAGTTGCCTCTTAAGACACACATGATATGTTAGCATTACTATTCTTTGCTTCCTTCATGGACCCCGGGAAAAACAAGGGTATTTAACATAATTTATAAATTTAAAATTTTTATATGAGTAGCAGAATCAATTTTCGCGTATAGTGATTATTTTTATATTTGTGTAATAGTTTAACATGTGTGTGGTCTGTGAGATGAATGTTGCAAGTATATTGAACTGTCATAGTAAGTAACAATTGCTCAATAGAGACTAATGGAAGTAATTTACACAACTATAAGAGAGAGACAAACCGTTTTCTTTATCTTATGTTCAGAAGAGATACAACAGAGAACAATGTGACAATTAGAAAAATCAGTAGTAGAAGGCAAGGAAGACAACAAGTATTATACTGGATGGTTTTAGATGGTGGCATTGAAGAATAGCATGAATAAAATTGATCCAGAACATCACAGACAAAGATATGTTGACAAATATGAATGTCTAGACTATATGGTAAGGCACATGATGATGCTGAGGAGGAGATCTTTAACTCTTTTGTTCCCAGAATCTTTCACAGCAGTTGCACGAGGAAAGCAATAACCACTATGAAAAAATAAATAACTTGTGCAAAAACTTTCAAAGAGGAAATTGGGAATGCCAGTATGATATATGAGTAGTATGATATGACCAAATGAAAATATAGAACACGTTGCTTGAATAATTATGTTTGACAGGGCTATTTAACTGGTGGCCAAATTGGCCTGCAGAGATCTAACAAGTGGCCTGCATGGATCATTGCCAGTTGTGTTGTTTTAATTATCTTTGTACACTCTGACTCTGGCCTTTAGCTCATGATGATTCATATTTTCAATATTTTAGCCATTGGGTAAACTTGGTTGAATAGTCCTGATGTTTAGAATTCATGAAAATAAGTTTATAACAAATGTTGATCATATGGTTTTAGAGTAACTCTCATAAACCACCAGTAGATAAAATTTTAAAATTTTTGTCTGTGCTAGGTCTCATCACTGACATTCTCATCTCCCTGGATGACCGATTCCTCTACTTCAGCAACTGGCTACATGGAGACATCCGGCAGTACGACATCACCAATAGAAGTCAGCCAAAACTGGTTGGCCAGGTACTCCATTTATGTTGTTCAAGACACTGTGACACTTGCTTGTAGTTATTTAACATAGTATTTGAAAGGTAAATTTTCTCATTGCCATCCTAGTATGCAGTCAATCTCAAAGTTATCCGAAAATCTCAGAATCGATTACAGTGCAGACCACATAATGTGATCTCTGTTGACGCAAGTTTATGTTGTGAAGAACAATTTGTTTATCTGCAGAAATTATCTTTCTTCATGAACTTTTTTCTGATATAGAAAAAGATTTCTTAGGTCCTCTGTGAGTTCTTATCACCTCTGCACTTTTTATAGCTATTTCTTTCTCTTGCTTTTAGTTAACAACAAATTCTTTTTAGGAAATCAAGAATAAGGTTGTAACTTTGTTCATCATAACATCGTCTTGTAGCAAACTTTTAGCACTTGTTTGTCACCTTAGGGCTCAGTACATCTTATTTCATAGACTACCGGAATTGAGAATTCCTACCAGTAACCATGTACTACTTGTATAGCTCGTAATGTTACTTAAAACACCCATACCCTTCTACTGCTTCTGAGTGAAAACACATCAGAGGAGCAGCTTTTTAGCCTCAGAGAGAAAAAGACAGAATAAAATGTTAGCAATTATTTATACAGATGGCTCTGTATTGAGAGTGAAAGGAAGTGCATGAGGGTTCCTAGTAAAAGCAAATGGGGGACCCTTAGTGCAGCAAAACCCGGCATATGAAATCACAAGATCTCTTATTAGAATGGGGGTAGAGGTGGTCACTGCGGTCTTTTATTGGCTTCAGAATCAACTGCACACACACGCTGTGGTTGTAACTGCCTTGCATAGCATGCTGAAAAGGTGAAGACAGGTATGCTCTAAGCAGAGTGGCGGGCATCATCCCAGAGGTCTAGTGTAGTTAAAAATGTTTGGATATTTTCTCCAGGTTATGCATATGTGTTGGGAAATGATTAGGCAGATAGCTGGCTGGTTGTGTACTACTTGGTGATAAACTGATGCATGACAAGCTAGATGTTGTCAAGACCCATTGAGAGTGAGTGAACAGTGCAGAGGTACAATTAGATTATAATGATCTGAAGAGAATGGTGCAACAGGGCGTGACCAAGTGATCTGGCCGACACTCCACACTCAGAGAAAAGGCAGTTTGGACATACAATCAGACTGCTACTGGTCCCACTGGAGTTGGAACTCTTCACTGTTGGCTGAAGTTTCTGCATAAGTGATTATGTCATACAATTTTAACCCTTCTGTTCTGTGCAGACACCAGAGAATGAATGTATGTAGTTTACATGTTATTGGTTTTGACGTTCAGTGTTTTTCTTATCTGGGAGACAATGTGATGGGTTTATCGGTTTATACACCTGTCTGTGGTATTTTTATTGTCTTCACTGTTTGCAGGTTTTTCTGGGAGGTAGCATTTTGGCTGATGGCCCAGTCAAGGTCACTAAAGATGTGGAACTTAAGGTGATATATCTAATTTGTACTATCTGTCTGTCTATCTACAGACACAAATGCCTACACATTCTCATACATACATACATGCACAAACATACATGCATATACTTCTTTTATAATTTAATAAAATGCAGTTTGTGCTGATCTTATTCTGAAGGTTTTTTAATAGGATCAATTTTCAGTCTAGTGTAAATAATGTTGCCAGATGCTTTGCAATGTGATGCTTAGAATTTCCTGGACAGCCAAAAAGAATAATCTAGATGTTTTGAAAGAGGACAGGGCTTGAAGACAACTTCTCACAAACATCAAAAAAAGACAGTGGTCATTTTTTGTCATGTTATGGGAAGGAAATTGGAACAAGTTGTGACCACTGGAAAGATCTGTGGGGAAAAAAAGAGAGAAAGGAAGACAACATGAGATGATTCACAGCTTTTTGCCATGGCATATGTGTTGTTGAAAATTGCAGGTTGTGGTGAATCATGATCTCCTATGCCAGGATCAAGGCACTTGATGATGAGATACTTTGACTTTGTACCTATCATCCAGCTTATTGCCAATGATTCCATCTGTACATTTAAGCATGATCCTGTCTTTGATATTACCATTGGTCCAGTCTTCCCCCCTGAAGCAAGATAAAGTGAAAACTATCTTTTACTCATTAAACAGAGTAGTTAAGTCTGTGAACTACATGGATAGACAGTATACATTAAATTCACAGTTCAGAAAACTAGGTTTACAGCCTACATTATGCACTGATTTGACAATACAAACTGACTTGAGAGTACGGGTTTGGTTGACAGTACAGTTCTCTTTGTCAGTTCAAAGGCAAACTTTATTCTCTAAATAACTGAGATTAAATCCTGGGTCAGTTTTGGTAACTTAACTAGCCACTACGCCACCATAGTTCAGTTTCTTTTCAATAAACCAGTTGCTGTGCAGTAGAACAAGTTACCACACAGCGATACCAGTTACCACACAGCAAAGCCGGTTTCTAAGTTTCAGATTCTGAAATTACAACATTATATATATATATATATATATATATATATATATATATATATATATATATATATATATATATATATATATATATATATATATATATAATCAACTCCAAACAGTTATTTCCTAAGTATAAAACTTATATTTATATGCATGTATTAACTAGAGCCAGCCAGAACCAGTGTATGTGAAAGGAAAAAGACTTGAGGGATCCCCCCAGATGATCCAACTCAGTCTGGATGGCAAGCGTCTCTACGTCTCAAATTCGTTATTTTCTGCCTGGGACCAGCAGTTTTATCCTGAGATCTCCAAGTGAGTTACTTTTTTTTTTTTATTGTCTTAGAGAATTTAGTAGTAGGCACCCAGTCATGGCTGTAAATCCTGGACAATAATAAACAAGCCAAACCATTTCTTGAGACCTCTGAGGTGTGGTTTAAAGAAGAATCTTTACAATTCCTCGGACAGCCAAAAATAGCAACCCAGATGTTTTAAAAAAGTAAGGGCTCAAAGACGCAACTTATCAGAAACATCAGAAAGAGACAGTCGTCATTTGTTGGTCCTGTTATGAGAAGAGGGAACTAGAACATGTTATTACCCCTGTAAAGAACTGTGGAAAAAAAAAGACAAGAAGAAGACAACAGAAACGATTCTTGACAGCCTTTTATCATAGGGGCGTCAACACTCAAACTGATGCATGGTGTTGAAGATCGTAAATTGTGGAGAGGCCTAATTGCCCACACCAGTTATCAAGACACTTGATGATGATGATGATGATGATGATGATGATGACGAACCAATCAATACAACAGAAAAAGTATGCATTTATTCTTGATTCATTCATACATACATATAAAGTATACCTTTATTCATATAAAATATACTTTTATACAGGAATCAGAATCCCTGTCTATGTTGGAAGATATGACAGTGCAGCCTAAAGCAGTAAGATTTGAACATTTCACTAAGGGCACAAGATGTTCATTAGTCTTCACAGAACCAGTATGATCAGTCATTTTATGTCTGTGAAACCATCAATTGATCTGTCCGGAGTGCTGCGATGATAATCCTCACTAATCACTAATCCTTTATACCTACATAGTATACCTTCTTACCTACATAGTATACCTTTATACCTACATAGTATACCTTTACACATACAGAGTAAAACTTTTTTTACCTACTCAGCTAGCTTTATACACAAGATAGATGCTTGAGGTACAAATTATAATACTCCATATGAATATAAACTATGCTGACCAATGGGAGTTGATAGCTAATTATAAAAAACAAATATTTGTTTCAGAAACATAATCGATTATTACTTTTGTTTCTCTAATAGATGTGGTGGATGGATGCTTCAAGTTGATGTGGATACTAAGAAAGGGGGACTTACTCTGAATGAAAATTTCTTGATAGACTTTGGTGAAGAACCCTTTGGCCCAGTAGTTGGTCATGAGATCCGATATCCAGGGGGTGACTGCACATCAGATATCTGGATTTAGATTTCTGTGCACAGTTTGCACATCATATTTGTCACTATATCACTATTTGAACTGACCTTCATATTTCTCGTAATGTAGCTGTTTGTGATTGTGTTGGCATTTTTGAAACTTCTTGGGCATTTGCTACAAATACTTTTGGTACCAAAAGAGAAAATGGAGTTGTGGTTGTTAGTGTGCCACTGATTCTTAATTTGATTGGTCTGATCAGATGTCATGTAGGTGCTTGGCTCAATAAAAACAACAAATCATCACATTTAACCAGCATCCCCGAAGAGGGAGCTTTAGGTTATAATTGTGATTAGGTTATGTGCGCCATATAAAAGGGCTTAGCATTGCAAGTCACAAAAAGCCTAAAGGACTCCTGCAGTGCTGATGAAGATCCTCAAATACTGTCCCAACCAGCGATGAAATCATTTACTGGAAAACCAGTGGGCGACCTAGTAGCCGATGATCAGATAAAGCATCACTGCTGTCTCTTTAAAGGACCCTCTTTGTGCCAGTTGTATATCAAAAATATCAGTTAAACTCATATTTGTATGACAGCTGAGAAACAGAGTCAGAGAAAATGTCCCTAATTGGCCCCATACACTAAAGAGTGGAGGGCTGCAAGTATGTCCAGAACAGCCTGGAAGAGAGAACCTAATTCTTTTATAGGATGTGTTATGCCTGTTTTAAACTCTTTGAGTCCCAGGGGGTTTAGCACCACAGGCCCAAGGGGTAGTGTATAGAGACAAAATTGTTCATTGGGCTTCTAGGTAGGAACCTGTGAGCGTATGATGCGCTCCTTGGGACTCAAAGAGTTAAGCCTGTAGTTGACAGAGATTGTTCTTTTTGAATTGGTTGTTTACCATACACTGAATTGATGGTTACTGAAACTGGTCAAAGGTATGACAATTAAATTTAATAATTCCACTTTATGCAGAAAAAAAGGAGCATAGGATAATTGGGACACTGCTATGATAATTACATGGCTGCAGTAGTATTTGAACTCTGCACTGGCTGCTGAAGATGAGGACCAAGCACACAACGGAATGCTCCGAGTGCTGTGATGTCAATTTTTGACTCAGATCAACTCAACTCACATGGATAATCTTAATTTTCTGGTGGTGAGATTTACATTGTAATTAGAGACATGATTTGTGTTTTTCAGTCAGAAAGGATTTATTTTTGTCAGTTTTATGTTGTAACTGTAATAATGTAACCTGACGAGATATGGAGAAAATATGCCAAGCAATAAACTGTGCAATGTATTGCTTGTTCATATAAAACATTGCTCTAAATCTGATTGTCTTTAATTACACCAGTGTTAATGTTTTTTCTTTTTTTTTTAAGTAAAATAATTGAGTAATACTGTGGTGTTGCTTCAATTCCATATTCATAACTTTTTCATTTAGCCCTGTTTTTGTTGGTGTTGTTTTTGTAATCACAACTTACTAGCTTTGTACTTTATGTTATAAAATGAAATAAACAGAATTATATTGTGCAAAAACAAAATTATGGTTTTTTTTTTAATTACTGTTTATCAGATCTTTTTTTATGTCATGACATCATGGTCACCTACGTTTGATCGCACTGTTTCAGCAAGCCGGTTGTTCACAGCATCTGATTTCTGCCAGTCGGTTTTTCCTGTTTGTTTCACATACATTTTGACTGTCTCCAGTCTGCTAGCAAGGCATAATATTTGTGTACCAGTTTGTCTGGTTTTACTCCTTTAACTGACTTGTCAAGTGATTCTCTACCATGTACAGTGCAGACCACTTAATACGATCTCAGATATAGTGAATTTCTGTTGTAAAGAACAATTTGTTTATCCTCAGCAAATTTTTTTTTTTTGCTTGAACTTTATCCGGATTGAAGAAATGTCTGATAAGAGAAACCATTTCTTGAGTCCCCGTTTTCTCCTTATCAGGTTTGCACTGTAGTAAAAACTCCACTGGAGAGTGAGCAAATGAGGCTTCTGAAGTCTCCCTGCTGAGTATGTTTCATCATCTTGTTCTTCTTGATACGGGAGAGCCAACCCACTTTAACCAACTTCTCATGGGAACAATCAATAGAGGTACCTAGGTTTACTACCGAATGTAAAACAACAAAAACCAAAAAATGCTGGTGTTGGCTCTGCAATATTCTGTAAAGGATAAGCAACTAACTTTTAACCTAGGTGTGGCTGGGCATTGGAGGTCTGGGCACGCATGGAAATGCCCCATGTGCTGAAGCAATGATTGTAATAGCATATATATATACAGATGGTCCTTGTGTGTTAAACTAACTTTACTATACAATTTTGCCAGGGGCAGAGGCGTATTCGCCTACGCCATTCGTAGTGGCATTAGATGATGATGATAATAATGACAGAGGCGAGTGCAAAAGGTCCGCAGGGCTAAATCGAGAGACGAGTGTTTCTCGGGTTTGGCGAGTGGCTGCGGCTTCAAGGATTTTGCATGACCCATGCGTTATTAGCCGCAAAGATAAAAATTAGCCTGGGTCAAGTCAATGACTCTCGGTCATTGAGATAGTGCGTACGTATGTAGAGATGTGTGTGTGTGTGTGTGACTTGATTCATAACTGTGGGTAATATTTTATGTCAGTGAGAGTTGAAGGATTCATTAGAATTTCGTGTATAACTAGGAATGCTCCTGTTGAGTGTATAGAATAAGGCAGAGTCGGAGATATAGATAATTGAGTCGAGAGTTGAGCGGAGTTGAGCTGTGTGTTCCTTTGTGAGTAATTAGATAATTGAGTAGAGAGTTGAGCGGAATTGAGCTGTGTGTTCCTGTGTGAGTAATTAGATAATTGAGTAGAGAGTTTAGCAGAGTTGAGCAGTGTGTTTCTTTGTAATTAGATAATTGAGTAGAGAGTTGAGCGGAGTTGAGCTGTGTGTTCCTTTGTGAGTAATTAGATAATTGAGTAGAGAGTTGAGCAGAGTTGAGCTGTATGCTCCTTTGTGAGTAAATAAATAGTTGAAGAGAGAGTTGAGCGGAGTAGAGCTGTGTGCTCCTTTGTGAGTAGATAGTTGAAGAGAGAGTTGAGCGGAGTTGAGCTGTGTGTTCCTTTGTGAGTAGATAGTTGAAGAGAGAGTTGAGCGGAGTTGAGCTGTGTGTTCCTTTGTGAGTAAATAGATAGTTGAAGAGAGAGTTGAGCGGAGTTGAGCTGTGTGCTCCTTTGTGAGTAGATAGTTGAAGAGAGAGTTGAGCGGAGTTGAGCTGTGTGTTCCTTTGTGAGTAGATAGTTGAAGAGAGAGTTGAGCAGAGTTGAGCTGTATGCTCCTTTGTGAGTAAATAGATAGTTGAAGAGAGATTTGAGCGGAGTTAAGCTGTGTGCTCCTTTGTGAGTAAATAGATAGTTGAAGAGAGAGTTGAGCTGTGTGCTCCTTTGTGAGTAAATAGATAGTTGAAGACAGAGTTGAGCGGAGTTGAGCTGTGTGTTCCTTTGTGAGTAAATAGATAATTGAGTAGAGAGTTGAGCGGAGTTGAGCTGTGTGTTCCTTTGTGAGTAAATAGATAATTGAGTAGAGAGTTGAGCGGAGTTGAGCTGTGTGTTCCTTTGTGAGTAAATAGATAATTGAGTAGAGAGTTGAGCGGAGTTGAGCTGTGTGTTCCTTTGTGAGTAAATAGATAATTGAGTAGAGAGTTGAGCGGAGTTGAGCTGTGTGTTCCTTTGTGAGTAAATAAATAGTTGAAGAGAGAGTTGAGCGTTGAGCTGTAAGCTCCTTTGTGAGTAAATAGATAGTTGAAGAGAGAGTTGAGCGGAGTTAAGCTGTGTGCTCCTTTGTGAGTAAATAGATAGTTGAAGAGAGAGTTGAGCGGAGTTGAGCTGTGTGCTCCTTTGTGAGTAAATAGATAGTTGAAGAGAGAGTTGAGCGGAGTTGAGCTGTATGCTCCTTTGTGAGTAACTAGATAGTTGAAGAGAGAGTTGAGTAGAGTTGAGCTGTGTGTTCCTTTGTGAGTAAATAGATAATTGAGTAGAGAGTTGAGCGGAGTTGAGCTGTGTGCTCCTTTGTGAGTAAATAGTTGAAGAGAGAGTTGAGCGGAGTTGAGCTGTAAGCTCCTTTGTGAGTAATTAGATAGTTGAAGATAGAGTTGAGCGTTGAGCTGTAAGCTCCTTTGTGAGTAATTAGATAGTTGAAGAGAGAGTTGAGCGGAGTTGAGCTGTGTGTTCCTTTGTGAGTAAATAGATAATTGAGTAGAGAGTTGAGCGGAGTTGAGCTGTGTGCTCCTTTGTGAGTAAATAGTTGAAGAGAGAGTTGAGCGGAGTTGAGCTCCTTTGTGAGTAAATAGATAGTTGAAGAGAGAGTTGAGCGGAGTTGAGCTGTGTGCTCCTTTGTGAGTAAATAGATAGTTGAAGAGAGAGTTGAGCGGAGTTGAGCTCCTTTGTAAGTAAATAGATAGTTGAAGAGAGAGTTGAGCGGAGTTGAGCTGTGTGCTCCTTTGTGAGTAGATAGTTGAAGAGAGAGTTGAGCGGAGTTGAGCTGTGTGTTCCTTTGTGAGTAGATAGTTGAAGAGAGAGTTGAGCGGAGTTGAGCTGTGTGTTCCTTTTTGAGTAAATAGATAATTGAGTAGAGAGTTGAGCGGAGTTGAGCTGTGTGCTCCTTTGTGAGTAAATAGTTGAAGAGAGAGTTGAGCGGAGTTGAGCTCCTTTGTGAGTAAATATATAGTTTAAGAGAGAGTTGAGCGGAGTTGAGCTGTGTGCTCCTTTGTGAGTAAATAGATAATTGAAGAGAGAGTTGAGCGGAGTTGAGCTGTGTGCTCCTTTGTGGGTAGATAGTTGAAGAAAGAGTTGAGCGGAGTTGAGCTGTGTGTTCCTTTGTGAGTAGATAGTTGAAGAGAGAGTTGAGCAGAGTTGAGCTGTATGCTCCTTTGTGAGTAAATAGATAGTTGAAGAGAGAGTTGAGCGGAGTTAAGCTGTGTGCTCCTTTGTGAGTAAATAGATAGTTGAAGAGAGAGAGTTGAGCGGAGTTGAGCTGTATGCTCCTTTGTGAGTAAATAGATAGTTGAAGAGAGAGT